GAAAAAAGGAGAAAACAATAATGGAGCTAAGATATTGGCCCATATCTGATTAGTATTAGACCTTTACTGGGCTGTGTTAGTGCTAAATTCAGTGGACATCTGACCTGGTCAAAATAGATGGTCATAGACGTGTTGCTCATCTCTGATGGCTCATGGTTGGTTCCACGCACGGCGGAAAAAGCCACCTTTGCCCCAGCGGAGCGGACTGATATGCCAAGTGAAGAGGTGACCCCTCCGTCCGAAGAAGGGTTCGAGTCGCACACCACGAGACACTTCCCTTCGAGCACGATGGGTTCCGTGTCGTTCTGGCCGAGGCAGAAAGCCACGCCGCATCCCAAGAGGAGGGTGAGAGCCAGCATGGCACAGGGTCCCGGGCAGCGCGCGGGTACCATGGTTGGATCGCTGATCCCGTGCACACTGATACAACCCGGCAGCCCCTTGGAGGTTTGTTAGTACTCGATCACCTGGTCCAGACTTTACTCCCTTCTCTGTTCCTCTCTCTCTCTCTTCCTGTAGCTGTGATGCTGCCTCACTCACTCAAACACCCTCTGACACACAGACGCACTCAGACTCTCTCCGGCTGTGACTCCCCTCCCTCCTGTGCGTCTTAGTTGGTTTTGGGAGAGTATTCAGACAACTGTTGTGGTAAATCCTGATGATTTAAGAGAAAAAGTGAGAGTTTTCATGTCAGACAGCAGCAGGAAAAAAATATTACATAGTTAAGTCATTAAACTTGAGTATATTTTCCGTGCGTAAAATGACTATCGTGCGTAAAATGAGTCTGTGCAAATACTAAAATCTAAAAATCGCCTTGATATTAATATACATTTCTGTTCGTCTGATATTGATCTAAACCAACTACAAGTGCTACTGCGGAATATAACTGTTCGCAGCCCTTAGTAACAAATTATAATGCCCATGGAAAATGATGTTACAGTTATCTTTATCCATCGTTCTAATTAATATCTGTGGCTAAACAAACACTTTGTAGGCATTTCTGTTGAGAAAAGGTAAATAAAGACCTACCTGTGCTCTCCATCCCGCTAGTATGCTCTCTCTGTCTCTCGCAGACTGTGAACTGAGCGCTCAGATCGCTGCTGCTAAAAAAGCAAGAGTCTCTGGACTTCCTTTCGAGGGGCAACTCACGCCCATTCTTTGTGTGTAGCCACTGCAAACCCGACTCCTCAGAAGTATCCCACAATTAAGAGCACATGCGTGGACTAATGGGTTTGTTTACATATTAATCAGTTCAATGTTGTGAGCTCAGGGGCCCCCTCAGGACGGCAGAGATCACTTGCTCTCAATGTCTGTCATTTATATGCTGTCGGTTTCTCATGTCTCTCCCTGATTAATCCGAAATGAAGGGGGCTGCAGCGGATAACCTTGCTGTTGCATGGTACATTCAGCATGCATGTATATGTTACTAATTTGAGACTTAAACGAGCATTTTTTATGAGTCCAATAAAGATACTTGTGCGCCATCCAGTGGCGGATTTCACTTCTGCAGAATGTGCAGGATCTGCTTATCAGAGGCACAGGTAGAAAAATCAAAGTATAAAAGTGATTAAAGTAACAAACTTGTGTGGTGTCTGGCTTGCGTACTTTATTGATCGGTGTGTGCTGACATATAAGCAAATTATATTACATGCACATAACACTTACCAAACAACCCATAAGCAAGTTGAAAGCAGGTGACACTTCAGAAAATGCCCACTTCACAGAGAATGACTCGCACCTCTCTGTACCACCCTTGGCCTTTCTTTTCAATTCCTGACATGTCATCATCCTTTGAAGAGCTGTGTAGAGGGTCCCTATCAGTGCTCCACACCTCTGAAGAGTCTGAGAGTAGGCTTCAGAAGTGGTGAACCCTTTAATGAGCTGTCATTTTCCTACTTAAAGATATGCTACCGGCCACATTATGCATGGCGCCCACATTAACAGGAGAAGGTACTGTATGGACTTTCTTCAGCTACTTCAGCTCAAGTAAATAGCTGGAGGAAAAGTCTGCATTTTCTTTTAATATAATTAATGTATCTTGAATACATGCAAGCAAATGGATAGGAGGAGAGGACAGAAACAGATCTTTTACTCAAAGCAACTGAATGTCACTCTGAATACACATTAAAAACTTGGACACAAATACAGAATGTGTCCACCAGCTGCTTACATAAATGCAATGTCCTTGTATAAAGATCCACTAAAGTACACAGAGATGACATGATTCTAGACTTAACCATGGCGATCCTTCCCCCCTTTCTCACCCCCACTTGACAAACATTGCACTGTCAGAGCTTACTGACAAACCATGCGGAAGAGTGACATCAGGTATCCAAGAGCCACAACTGACCCCAGGCCTGCAGAAGGACACATAGCTACAGAAAACATCAAATGTCAAGAACGGTGGTGGTGGTGGGGGGCATGCAAGGGAAAGGGATGTGGCCTACATGGCATTAACATACCAGGGGCTGCAGTTGCCCTAAAAGGGACTTCACTTCCATCAGGCAAGCTGATCGGCTAGACTGACTAACTGTGTTATGGTTATTTTCCCTGACAGCTAGCAGAACCTACTGGCTTCTAGGAACGGGGAGGTTGATTATGCGATGGGTCTTAAAGCGAGCCATCTGCTTTTGCAAAGACAGCATCAGTGTGGTTGGTTTTGTCTAGATATGCATATTAGCATGATTTCCCTCATGACGTACATCATTACCTTATTTGTTAGTGATCTCTTTGTTACTAACACTACTAACTAACACACATAATACATAGTACAAGTATTATGCATAAAATATCCTAAAGAAATCTGGGGTCCACCCTGTGCGCTTACACCACCATATGCTTCACAAGGTCTAAAAACTTTAAAATAGATATCTGTCCGTCCATCTGCCTGCCTGTCCATCTGTTTTTGTGCAGCTATAAATGAATCTGTATCTTCATGTCTAAAATGAGGTCAGACTCTAAAACAAGTTCATTTGAGAGCTCCTTTTCTCTCTCATTGCAGCCCTGAAAGAAACCTTTGAGTGAAAGGGAGGGAGACTGTGTTGTATGTCTCTCTTGTCTTACATCAGTAAGATGTGACCTCTATCTTAGCATGTGGGAAGAGACAAATAACATCAATCTCGTCTGTTACTCCCCTGCTAGTGCTGGACTAACACCTTGATGAGGAGTTATATTGCTAACCCAGAGAAAGGTTACAGCAGACCGTACTGTGCCTGCTAGAGCTTACAGTAACTGGTATTACTTTTCTTTACTTTTTCTTTGTGTGTGTGTGTGTGTGTGTGTGTGTGTGTGTGTCAAAATTCAAGAGTTAGCGTTCGGGTTAGGCGAATTATGATTACGGTCTACACACATACAATGAAAGTAAGTCATTGCAATGTGTGTGTATGTGTTTTCTGTGCGTGTGTCCATGCATATATAGTATCTCAACAATGTATTCCAACCTCATGTGAAACTAACCTGTGCTCAAAATAATGAAAAGGTATCTCCTTTGGTGAGTATTTCAGAGAGGATGAAGCTGACAATATTAAAATCATTTTTTATCATTATTAATTTGATTTATTCCACATCTGACACCTAAAGTATCTTTAAACTTTAAACTGACTATTAGCAATCTAGGATGCCAGATACAAGTATATGCATTTATGTGTTTATTTAATAGGGGCAATACAGGGAAACATTGTTACATCTATCATGAAATTCATTCACATCACCATGAATTGAGGCTCTAAAACTATAACACTTGTACTTTAGTAATAATATTATAGAGTCCAATTTTGAACAAATTTTGACTTGAATATAATTGATCTTTTCACATTGTGGTTTTACTACTTTTACATAAGTTGAATCGGAATACCTCTTCACCACTGCGTATAGTGGATTCCTTAAAAACATATAGAAATGATATTTATAAACAGTGTGTTATATATTATATTATGTTGTGTTGTGTGCATATGTGTTTTCACCTTTCTGTTAAATGCCTAAAGTTTAATGTAGCCTAGGTGTAGTTAAGGGCACTCCACATTCTCCATAGTGCTTGTTAGTACTACTCAGCTTGTTAAAACTGTTGTATAATTAATGTTTTCTGTGGCTCTGAAGTAGTTTTTTCAAGTCTGAGAAAATAACCCTGATGATGTTATCTCAGCATGGGCTTTGAGTCAACAAGTTTAAAACCAAAAGCCTACATTACACACTGTGGATAAGGAGTTTTAAAGGTGTGTGTGTTTACACAGCAGGGGCGTTCTAATGAAGAAAAATCAAAGTGCATCCTAAAAAATTTTGATCCAGTGCTTTAGGAGATTGACACATACTAGAAACTAAAATTCAGCATACATCTGCCTCTGCTGTTTTTAATTTTGACCATTTTGTTTTTAATCTGTCTGTCCTCCAGCCTTAATGGAAGTGCGATACAAAAGTAGTACCCCTTAAATGTAACACTTTTGAAACCACAACAACCATGCAGAAATCCAATGGTGGAAAAAGTAGTAATAGCTACCACAGTGTGTTACAATAAAAGTCATGTAGCCTATTCAAAATGTTAAATGTATGTAAGTAAATGCATGAACGTATTAATATCAAAATACACTTAAAGTACTGATTTCAACTTAAATTCTTACATATTGCACCTTTAACCTATAACAATGTATTGTTTTATATGTATTATTTAATCTGAATCTGTAAAGTAACTAGTAACTAAATGTAGCAGATAAATGTTAAATGGAATAAAAAGTACAATATTTCCCTTTGAAATGTATAAGAGTAGAACAAGTAACTTAAAAAGTAGGCTAAAAGTACCTCAAACCTCTACTTGAGTAAACTCATCTACCTAAAACTTTACCCGCTTTTATTTTGAAGGCAAACGGAAGACTTGCCCGGACGTCACCATGGCGACTGGACGCGGACAGTGTAGTAACGTAAGTTAACTTAGCTAACGTTAACTGTCCGAGTTATTCTTTGACAAAAAGGGAGAACAAAGTCTTTTTACTACTACTAACATTACTACTAGTAGCTTACATAGTGACGGTTGACTGTTTTGTATCCTAACGTTACACTCAAACAAACAAACGTGGCTCTTACAGTTATACGGCCTTAACTTCCTACCAAAGATAAATTTTGTTGTTTGTGTCTCTAAGGGGTCAAGACCAGTGAAACAAATGGCGGCTCCAAAAGCAGTTAGTTGCAGAGTGCGGGCAGTGAGGACGTCCAAAAGAGCTGACAAATCATCTCCAGCGTCCCCTCCGAAGTTTATGGAAAGGTAATCTGTCAGAACATGCTCATATATTCACCTGCGCGGCATTCAACACTTTCAGCTAGGCAGTGTTCAGGAAACTGTGGCAAGTCAAGGCTTTATTGCCCAGTAAGTAAAAGGATTTATGGACCGTGTTCGAAGCAAAACACAATAAAAGCAGAGCAAAAAAAATCAATACAGGTGGAAGACACCTCGCTATATGTTCAAATTAAGCAATATGATTCGTTCCCCATTGAATGTAGGCAGTAAATGCAGCAATGAAACACCAGGTCACAGTAGCAAGTCAGTAAACAATTGCTTTCGTGTGTGTCAAACAAGGGTGAGATCATATTAAAGCAGAGAAAATATGTTCATATTTAGTAAGATTATTGTTTTACCATTCACATTTAAAGTTAATTTGTCAATTAGATGTGTTGTCTGAAGCACAAATGGCTTTCTCTCGCTCTTTAAAAATTGATCACAGTTTGCTGGAACAATCTGTCTTTAACACCTGACTCACTTGCCTTAAAAATGCATGCATTGCTGTGAGATTTTGCACAGACATGCATGATCCTCAAAGCATGAAACCTACTGATTATGGTGGTTTTGAGCTACAAGGTCTCAACAAGTTTTGCATAAATTGTCATAAAATGTGTTACAGACATTCATGTTTCCCTTAGGATGACTAGTAATAACTCTGGCGATCCTTTACTGTAGCTTTTCAGCAATATTTACGTGTTTACTTTGGTTTATGGCTAAATATCTACAAAATGATATGACATCCCATCAGTCTCAACTGTACGCTAATTAGCAAATGTGGCAAACTTACCATGAGCATGTTAGCTTTGTCTTTGTGAGCATTTTAACCTGCTAATGTTAATATAGTTCAAAGCAGCGTTGCCAAATGTAAATTGTTGCTGATGAATTAATCGATGGATCGTGTAAGCTCTAGTTTAGTTTAGATATAATTAAACAGGGTATTTATGATCATTTCATCAATCTTGAACTCTTGAATTGTGTTGTGGTGCACTGGTTTAAGGCGAACTTAGTAAGTAAGTAAAACTTTATTTATATAGCACCTTTTTGAGGCTTTTTGCTTTCCAAACAACAAATAAATAAANNNNTAAAAGAGACGACAGATGAGAAAAACAAACAATATAAAAATATATAAAAAGGCTTGCCTGTAGAGGTGGGTTTTGAGCAGCCACTTAAAACTGTCCATAGATTCAGTGAATCTGAGTGAATGGGGAAGACTTTCACCTTTAGATTTACGAGTACCGTCTGTATGTGCCAGTTTTCTGGCAGAGTTGTGGATATATTGTAAATTCATCTTGTGACTTCTGGCCCATCTCCTTTTTTCCAACCTTTTAGAAAAGCCATAAATGACTTAAAACAGAACCTCTGCATGTTGTCAGCTCCAAATGTCAGCGAGAGGTTAACTGTTCTTCAACTTCTCCATGTTAAAACTGCAACAATGATGAGTGTGTGATCAGTGTTGTGTTTTAGAAGTTGTTTCATGTGGTTGTTGGTGTGCAGTGGAGTTGTGACTGACCAGGCAGGTAATGTTGTGAACATATCTCTTACTGAGGTGAAATAACAGAATATTATTATTATTATATAAGTGTCTTTAACCGTGACAAACGTGCTGTTTTCAGTGTTTTAGCATGCTAAACCATGCAGATAAGTGTAACAATGTTATGATATAATGATATCCAAACGTACTCATTCTTATATTTAGACCTAACAAACGTTGGTGACTTGAGATTTCACACAGATGAGAGTGTGTCTTGCTCTGCTGTTCACAGTTTGAATCTCACTCACACTTTAATTTATCACCTCCTGCAGCTTGAGAGGGGTCGTTGACACCACCATTTTTATCTGAGCAAATGTGATGGATCTATTGGGTATCAATTAAGGAGGATGTAACACACTGTTAGGCTGTTTTGTGATTGAGACTGATAAGATGAAATTGTGAAGTTTTACAAAACAGTGAGCCCTGAAGTTTTTTTTTTTTTAATACCAAACCTGCTAATTTCATTTGGTCGTCAGAAGTGTATGATAAGATTGCCAAGTATTCTGTTGAGAGCGCATTTGTCTCGTACACCGGTGCTTCTAAAGAACCGCATGCGGAACAACAGGTGGCGTGAAAAGACTAGTGTCACTTCCTTGTAGTGATGTTTAATTGCCTTTTCCGTAGAATGCCATCTGAGATCCTGATTAGGATTCTGTCATACCTGGATGCCTCCGCTCTTTTCACCCTCAGCCACGTCAATAAGCTCTTCTATCAGCTCGCCAATGATAAGTAAGTACCAGCCAGGTCTTGTCGATGCAACATACACAGTACATTAGATACAAGTGTGTTAGGAATCCAATCCAGCAGGGAGTAAAGGCAAATCAGGGAAGTTTTTTTTGTCTCTTCTTGTATGTTTATTCTTATTTTGTGTTAAGTGTTTGGCTAAAGGTTGATCTGACAATCATTTTCTTTATTGATTGGTTAATCATTTGGCCCAAATTATTTCAGAATTTAGTGAAAGCTGATCATCACAGTTGAGAACCATGGTCAACTTACTCCTTTCATGTACTTAGATAAGCTGTGTTAAAGAGACAACCACATTTTGAAGATGGATAAATTAACATATAGTCACATGTAATGTCAGCTAATGTTAGCAAAATGGCAATAATCTAGCTAATCCAAATCAATTGTTGGCTAGATATAATAACTAGATAATCCAAAACCTAAAGATCTTCTGTTTACTGTCATAAAAGACAACCCACCCTCAACAATATTCACATTTGAGAAACTGGAACCAGTGAATCTTTTTGTAAATAAATAACTTCAATGAGTGCAGCCACGTGTATAACACAAATTTCTGGAAAATTCTTGGAAAAGTGGATCCCTACTGAAACAGGTTGAAAACTCTCTGCATTGGCAGATTAGTTCAGTTTTTTTTTTTATTAAATAAAAACCACAAATGGCGCACTTAAAGAGCAACTTTTAGGGAACATCCTCAGAATTAATGTGTGGAAAATCTGGTTTGGTAAAATCAGCATACTGTAGTGACATCTGTGCTTGTTTTATGAAAGAGGACAAAGCCAGTAGTGAGAAATAGTGAGAGTTGTGGTGTGAGAAGAACCACTGGGGAGAAGGGCAGGTGTCATGGTGGGTATCGCTGTAATGTAGCAATGTAGCACCATACACGAGGCCGTACCATACTATCAATGGGCCGTACCAAAAGTAGTAGTGATCGTCACAGCAGACACTAATGTTCAAGGATCAGCTCGATGTCCTGACAGGTTCTAATTTTTGCAGCTTGCACAAACACAATAATTAACCACAATGGAAAACTGGTGTGATTAAAAACTAAAACCAGTGATGAAAGACAGACTGACTAGAAGACGAAACCCGCCCAGACACACTACCACCTGGGGACACCGACTCCCTGTGGAAACCAAACATTGCTACATTGCTAAGGGCTACTTTTTCTTTTATGGCTTGTAAAACATGCAACATCATATATTAGATTTGTCAAAGCACAATATCCATTAAACCTAAAGTATAAAATGCAGTAAAAAATTCAACCTCTGAGTAGCACTTTAACAGGAAGTGAAACCTTTATGAGAACGCATCATTTTTCTAAACCAGCACACTAATAACACAAGAACATTTTCATTCAAAGAACAATTTAGAATAGCAGACCTGTAACAAAACAGCACACCCGACATATTTAATATCATTCAACCATTTGTCCATTACTCTTTTTCAGTTGTTTTTACTCACAGCAATATATCTTCTAATATCATCCATGCAGTGCACTGTGGAACAAGATATACATAGCAGAGTTTGTCAGGAGTAAAAAGCACAAACCTAAGTGCGTAGATGAGCTGCTCCTGAAGATGGCCGCAGTGGAGGTGCAAGATCTGCCCGCAGGTTACTGGAAGTGGCTGTGCTTCAGGACTGCAGCCGCATGTGACATGAACAAGTGGAAAAGACATCTTGAACTCATCAGCTGTCACACTGGGCTGCCCAGCCAAACAGAGCGGGTCCTCAGGTAAGAAACAGAACGAGGCAAAAAAACAGCTTTTTGAAAACCACTTGGATGAAGTACCTGAGGTGTATGATTTGTTTAATGTAGCGGGCCCTTCATTTCACTTACCAGACACTTGAGTAACCTAGTAAGTGTTGCTTGTGAGTTAAGCTAATTGAGTGCTTACCATGTATTTTCAAGCATTTGAACCCCTTAGCTCTTAGCTACTCAAGTGAGAAAAAGGTCTCATTATTTCTCTGGGAACCCTTGTGTCAATTTGTTTTATATTTTATAGTTTGCAGCTTTTCCTTATTTCAGCTAAAAAGGTGGTGTGTTGATCATACTTTGTATACCGTGCCTTAATCTGCCGTTTGCCATCTGTTCAGCAGTTTTAGAATTGGAAGCAGCTCTGTGAGGTGTCATGGAAACCCGTGCATTGTTTGTGGTTAGAAAACAGTAAAACTTTGGAGATCCACCCGCGCTGTCAAGAAAGTTCAAGGGCAGAGAGGCTAGAGGACAGTTCAAGCCGCTGGCAATCAAAAGCAAAGCGTGGTTTGTTTTTCATATCGCACTTAATGACACTTTCTTATTAAAGGTGAGAAAGGAGGTCTCTGTCTGAACGTGGTGTCTGCTCAGGGGGAAGCCAGTGCGCAGGGGAAAGCTCCCTCACCGCCTCCACCGCCGTTTCTGCTGTGTTTTTATAACCTCTGATTAGAGGCTGTGCAGCACTCAATTTTGAGTTCTGTGGCGGTCGCTGTGGTACAGAGGGGAAGTAGAAATAATTGTGTTCCTTGCAGAGGCTGTCTGAATTGTTGAAATAAATTACTTAGCCCCCCCAACTCCTCATCCACAACACACACACAGGCATGCACGCACGCCTTCTCCTTCCTCTCTCCTCCCACCAGCTCAGACAATTCCCTGTGGGGGTTTGTCTGTTAGAGACACTGAGGAGCATACGATTTACCTTGGTAATAATCATTTCACAAGACATCACACATACCGACAATGCAGAGAGAAATCCCCTGGGTCATCTGGGGCCTCCTGGGCTGCTCCAGTTTTTAGCTTTGTTCCTCCACTTAATTGATATTGGATGGTGCCTCAGCGAGACACTGCCTACATCACAGTAGGGGCAGCCCTGAATCACAGTTTAGACAGAATTGGATCAAGAGATTTATCACAACAGCTGTGGTTTCATTCCATTCGTTGCATATCATTTCATTAGCAAGAACAACTGGAGTCATACTATTCCCTACTGCTGTCAGGAGAAACGTAAAGGCCATTAAACTCAGAGTTTGCCTGATTTACAGAGCAAGAGTCATATTTATCCAACATTGCCGCAATTATTTGCATTGTAATAACTTCAAATAAATGTTTTGACTTTTGTTCAGCATTTGCAATTCACTAGTGTCTTCATGAGTTATTTCCCACTTTATAAGCTTATTTAATATCAGCTGTGTTTGTGTTTGAACCAGCAGCTGAGCTCTCAACCCCTCTCTCCCCAACCACACTAAACCGCAAATAAACAACTGTACATGCTTTTATTGCAAAACCCCCTCACATCTTATTGCTATCACCCTGCGTGTTATCTTATTTTAGGAACTTGCACGTCACCTGGGAGCTGACGGTCTCTGATAAGTCGGGGCACGAGGGCACACATGAGCTGAGCTGCTCCCGGTTCTGCGAGACTTCCGTGACTCTGTGCTGGAGCGGAGGAGGCGGCTTGCCCAACTACCAGCAGTTTTCCACCCTTCAACTCCACGGTGTCAGGAGGATAGCCCTCAACTGCCCAGGCCTAAAGAAGTAAGACAGCTGGTGTCCATCTCCACACACTCTCTCTCTATTTCTCTGTATTCTCTTTTCTCTCTGTGAAACCTACTGTTTTCTCTGCTTGCTCTGTCAGACCTGGCTGTCGGTCCCTCATGGTGAAGTTAGACGTGCAGACCCTCACTAAAAGCGCGCAGGTCATTGGTCAGGATCAACTGGTTGAACTGAAGTTGCTGCAGCCTGACATCATCATTGGCGTCTGGAGGGTAATTACTTCACAGGCCGCTATGGCTTTTCAAAATTATTATTCATTAGCTTTTAGTAGCTAAAAAACTGTAGCTTTTATTTTTTGTTTTTACTTAAAATGAGGAGGAATTAAATGGGTTGGCTCTCTTCGCAGGACCAGTGCTCTGTCGCCTTTGTCATGTTCATCCTCCACTTCCACAGGCTGGTGGAAAGAAGCATCCGGGGATCCTCTGATTGGTAGGCTGCACTTGAACAGGCAAACTTCTATGCACATGCATTTGATGTGACCCATCTATGATGCACAGCAGGGTGGGATTTGAAGCATTCGCATCACTGACCTGTATCTCACCATCACAGTGGATCATGGGACTGTACCACATTTTTATGTACAAAATGTTCTTGTCATGCCATTTACACATGTGATTATTTAAATAATTTGCTATCAGGACACAACTGAGTTCAGGTGTTAATCCCAAGCAGTTCACTCATGAGCAAATCTTAAAACAGAGTAAAGGGTAATTAATGGGAGGAATTTGTAGTGTTAAGTTTGAATTAAAGTGATTGATAAAAAACCTGTGGGCTGGATCCGTGGTTCTCAACATGTGGGTCAAAACCCCTCAAAGGAGGCCAGTAAAATAAAACAGGGTTGTTATGTTTACAAAAGAGTCACAAAATAGACATTATCTTAAAAGATCACAAGCCCAAAAGGTTGGGAACCAACGAACGATACAGTGTTCACATTTTACTTTCCATGCATCTGACAATAACAAATAATCCAAGTTATTGCCTCATATAGTACTGGAGTTGCTGTATAGTCTTGAAGAACTTCACTGATCAACCTATTGTGAGTCTACCATAGTGTGGTAATAGCCCCCTCTCCTGGATTCTTGTGAGAGCACAATGTTACAGTAAATTATGACTACAGTCCACAACGTAATAAAGCTGTGAAATGCCTCCTTAATGAAATACATTAAGGATACAATGTGCTCTTCACTCACTGCAGTCTTAGTTTCATTTACCTTTTTTGATTTTTTTTCTTCCTCCAGCCCCTACGTGGAGCCAACAATCAAACCCCCTTTTGATGACATCGACCCTGAATACGGTCTCCATGGTTACCAACTACACATTGTTCTCCACGACACAGTGCGCAAGATCATGTCCGGAAGCTACTCCCAGCTCTTCTGCCGCAGAAGTAATTTATTTATACTCATATTCTAATTAGAGCAGTTGTGATTCACATGTATGGTACTATTTTTGATCTTTGTATTACATATTATTATGACTCTGTAGTCCATCACAGACACACTCTGTGAGTGAACTGTTCTTTGATATCTATATCCTCAGCTTTGTCTAGCACATTGTCCACTGTGAATCCTTTTTACCACCCTGCACATTTGCACTGTACTGTACAATATTATATTATATCATATTATTGTATAGTTTGCCTTACAACTGTGACATTTGTACATTTTACATTTGTATATACTGACAAATTGCACAGCCCACCAACAGCCAGTATACACATCTGTATTTTAATACTTACAGTATGTGACACATCTTAGAGTCTTTATCCTTTTCTATTTTTATTTCTAATTCTTATTGTTTTCTTCGTGGCACTTTTTAGCCACCCTGCATTTTACTGCACACATTGTATGAACATAATATATATATACATGTATGTATTTGAAGATCATTATACTGCTTGTAGATTCAAATCCAGCTAACATCACGATGTTTTAATCGTTTCATGGGATGTTAATTAAATAACTTTGTTATTATTGTGTAAAGACTTACATGTTGTTGTCTTTGACCAGCTCAGATCTGTGACGGCCTTATCCAGCTGACTGCCATTAGCAGGACAGACCTGTCGCAGCACACACCTCTGTCAGGCAACATCACCCTGCCCTGGAGGTGTGACGCCCTGCAGGGTGCAGTGCAGGTACGACATGTGCTGTTGGTTACTTGCACACTGTTTCACTTTCTTTATGGGAAGAAAGAAATGTATGTCTAAAGCATGTTAAGTATGTTGCTGACAAGTGGTAAAAAGCCATTTTTATTGTAACATTCATTCAACAAGATTTATTTATTCATGAATTTTGAGAGTTTTGACTTAGAGGCTAATAGATTTGTTCCTGGATCAAGATTTTCAAGAAGTTGGCACACTGTAGTAAAAATGCTTTTTACCCAAATGAAAAGGGCTTGACACTTGTTTATTACTTTACTTTTTTGCCAGAATTGCTGCATCATGAATCTGACTCTACTGGACGAATTCAGGAAACCCTTCTGGTGTGTCAGCTCTCCAGTTTCCACGGAGCAGGAGAAGACACCTGTCTCCTATGACTATGACGGTGAGCACTTCCTGATCCACTATCAGGACTCAGATGGTCAGGTGAAGATGAAACTTGTTTGGATGGAAGAACAAAAGCAGTTTTTCCTCATAAGCTTAGTTGTCTATGTGACCGTTCGCAAAGTCAACAAGCATTTCAGTAGAGATTACTGAACCTGCAGCGTTTCTGGAAGTTTTTAGGTTTTTAATAATTATAGTTGGATACTATAATTTTGCTTTTTAATTAAACATATTAGATCTGTATATGATATGCTGATATTATTTTGTATCTACAACATTGTTGGTATAGATGAGAGAGAGTGTTACATCATAAAAATTTGTTTGATATCCTTGTAATAAAACAGTCTATAATTATTCTGGTGGCTTACTCCATACATTTTGCACACAGCGTGTGGGTTGGTAATACTCAATAAATCAATACAAAAAAAGGAAGAAATGTAAGAAAACACACTTCAAACTGTCAGAGGGGTTTCAACTCTCATTTATTATAACAAATGTACTTCTTTAGGAAATAGTTTTATCATTTATCATTAACATTTTGTTTATATTTGTGATTCTATAAATCTTCTGTTGTTTTGTACATTTGTGTTACAATTGAAGACATGTTTTCATTTCTATGCAATGCAATGATATGCAGCTACGAACGGTACTTAATACATCTGAGAGAGACTTGGTTGGATTTTAAGTCAGAAGCGTACTCATGCAGATGTGCCGCTTTATCATGGTGACAAGTGAATATACCCTTTCTATCCCTAGTAGAATGCACATTGAATATGTAATGTATTTTCTACTCTATATTTAAATAGAGCTTAGAAGTGATCCAGGTCATTGCAGTTTGTCATTTTGCCTAGCTTTACACTGTATTACTAGTCCACTAATAATTCGAAAATAATTTTTACATGCACTGTAAGAGGATATTTTACCAGAGCACAAAATGTGATGGTCCATTGCACATGTTGGAAGAAAGGGTAAGAGTAGGTTGTTGAGATTGTGCATCCATCATGGATGTGCTCTTAAATTAAGCCTACCACACCTCAAAATAACCTCATAGTTTCTTCATCACCCTCCCTTATAACTGCTTTTATCAGTAATCACTCTTATTAGAGTTATGTCTTCTGTGTATTTGCCATTTTCCTTTGTTGTACATAGATCTGTTTTAGCCAAGACCAGAGTTTCCACAACCCTGAGCAGGCACTTGGTTTTTTATTGCATCTACCCTTTAATTAAATGTTTTAACTCTTAATTATTCTTAATGTTATGGATATTTGCCTCAGTGCTTTTACAAAATAAAAGCACGCTTTATATTGGGGGAATAAAAGTTTTGCTGCCTTTGTATGATTCACACAAGTCAAGTTTTGTTTCCTCTTCTTATGGCATTTATACCTGAACACCCACATTACCACAATTGCATTGTCAGCCATTATGCAATCACTTTTAGATGAAAATTGAGTTTAATGTCCACACCCTGGGCAAGTCTGGCGACAGCGATAGAATTAGTGTGGGAGCAATTGTTGGAAACAGTTGCTGTGCTGCTGATGGGCCAGCACTGCTGATGGCAATAAAATAAGCCAGGCCTCTGGGTAATAGGATTTCAGAGGCTTCCCTTCCTTTTCTCTGTTGAGGGTCATCATCACCTTCAAAAGATGCTTATTTTTCCAAACACATCACCAACTGCATTGGCACTAGATCCAAAATCATTTGGGGAAATGAGCCAGAGGGAGAAAGAGGGGCAACAGTATGTGTGATGAATTGTTTTTTGTCACAAGCTTCACAATTGAATTGAGACGAAAAAACTGTGATGGGGACAGAGACTCTGTCTGAATCATAAGGACTCCATGTGTCATAGTTTAACATTTTACAGGCCTTGTGCTCCTTCCATGTCAGGGCTGTTGAATGACCATGTGGCTGTTAAATTGGTATGTGGATGGAAGCCATGCAGCAGTACATTGGATAGCTGAGTTGGACACTTAATACACAGACAAATGACATGACATTGGCCATTACTTGGACTGAATGATGTGTACCATGTACAACTTTCAGGTTACAAGTGTGTTACAACACATTTCCATCGCAATGACCTTCATACTACTGTTTGCCGTCACATCAGCTGTTGCAAACTGCCAATCCTTCATTCTTCATTTTATTAGAAAAACCAGGAGCCAAGGGTATTGTAGGCTAGATAATGGACTCGCAAGAACATAAAACCAGTTATCCACACGTTTGACTCAGAGTAATGGCTAAATGAAAAATATGTATGGATTTCAGGGGCAAGGACCATGGAGCCTTGACTGAAAGCATTGTGTGTTGCAGTAAGTATTAACGTAATGCTCCTACAGTAAGTTCTCTGAAGAAATATCCTCAGAAATACAGAAATCAATTTATACCAGCATGCAAATTTAAATTTTTTGAATATAGTTTAATATGGGTAGTTCTCCAGCAGATGGCTCTCTTTAGTAAACAATGGAAGAATGCTTAAACAGCACAGTGCATTTTCTCCATCCTTTCAGTCTATGAGAAACTTGTATATAAATGACTAATAGCAATGTTTTTATCAGCACAGTATTAATGCATTTTCTGTGGATGATTTCTGCCCTTTACAGGCATTCTGTTTTCCATCCTCATGTTGTTTTTCTCCTTTCTTTTTCTGCTCTTTTGCGCAGTAATTGCAAGCTTGTGCGTTAATCAAAACTTAAAAGACTTTAACACCAAATAACGATTAAGAGAGAATCCACAGCCAAACCACGGAATGGGCAAATTTAGTGGCATAAAGCTTCATTAAACTCATCTTTCTTAGTTTCCTCGCAGGCTAATCTTGGAAGAAAATTGCTTCCATTTTTAGCCTTTAATTCTCTCCCTTGTGAGTGACCAGCTGGGTCCGCAAACTATTCAGCCTTAGAAGCCAATGACACAGTCCTTATTTAGACCTCTCATTGGAGGAAAACAGTCAACTAATCAAATTCACCGGGAGGGAGCTCATCAACGTACATGTTTTTTTTCATTTACAGTGACCTTCTGTCTTAAAAGAACTTAATTTGCATTTCCCAAAAGACTGGAAGATAGAGGGCTCAATTCCTAACACTTAATAATCCGCATTTATTATCCAGTTGGGTAAGTACTTTAGGCCAGAGAAGTTAATTGTGCTTGTAATGATTAGAAAAACATATATGTAAAACACCTATGCCAAAGAAACCACATTAAAAACTGCATACTCTAGGAAAATGTGTTTTGTTGATGCTACAAAATAACAGATGGTCAGGCATTTACATTACTGGGAGTGAATTCTGCTACAGTACCACTGACCAGCAGTTTCCCTCCTCTCTGTTATTCACCTCCTTTATTTCTTCCACTCTTTTGATCCCTGCAGGAAAGGGGAACTGATAGTGGGTAACCATATTATAATAGGCTCATGATGCCCAGTAAGATCCTCGGTTTATTCTCCCCTTTAAATGGTGCATCACGACCAGACAGGTGTGGAAAAGTCCATTTATATCAAAGCTGCGGCTCGTCCTGTGGCTCCAAGAGCTCAATGAGCAATATACTGGGCTGCCAGTGTTGCCTCAGTCTGCAGTGATATACAGTAGAACAAATGTCCCTGAAGTCCATTTAGTGATGATTAGCTGCAGTACACTTACTTAAGTATTGTCCTTACAATACTGAGGCAGATGGTTTCCTTGTGTATTTTCTGCTACTGTATACTTCTACTTCACTACATTTAAGAGGGAAATAGTGCTCATTTAACTTGACTACCTTTATCAGCTTTAGTTACTTAAAAATCCAGATTTTACATATAAAATCTATGATCAGCAACTAAAATATAATGCATTTTACAGATTAAACTACCCAAGAACATAAACAGTAGCTCCGCCTGAACCAGCTACCACATTTAAATGCTGCTGAGACGGTTATGCATCAATAATATAAATCTAATATCATAAATGATAATAATCCACTCCAGAAGGGGTAATTCTGGATTATTATGACTTTTAGTTTACTTTAAGTATGTACATTCTGCTCATAACATGTTTCTACTCCACTCAAAAATATTTTGCTTATTGCTACAACTACTCTGATGTTTGACCTTCACTGTGCAGAATGAGTTTGACACTAGAAGGCTGTTTTCACACTCATCTGCTGAAGAAGGAAAGTTTACTTTAAATCTCAGTTTGACACGCGTACATATTAGCATAATTTGTGACACAACTAGCTTGGAAGTCAATTATGGCTCAATATACAACTTACAAAAGTGTATTTTCCCAATGTGGTATTACTACCATTTCTTGGGAAATGGATCTGGCATTTTAAAGAAATTACACTATCTTAACTGCTAAAATTAGAAGTGTCTTGACCCCCTTAATTTTCCACGTCGACACTTACATTACATTTATTTTAAAGCCTTCCAACCATTCAGCCTTGAACAGTGTCTGCTCCCAGGGGTCTCCGTGTCCTCTACTCTTCTTTACATAATCTATAATTTTGGATAACTGGATGGTGAACGAGGATGTGTCATAAAATAAATTACTTGCCACTATTCCTCTCTCACTTCCTCACACAAGTTACTCAGTGTGTGTGTGTGTGTTCCAGAGAGTAAGAGTGGTGGCATGAGTCAGCACATTATCCACTATACTGTAGAAGAAGACGTTCCACAATTTCACATGGATCACTAGTTTGTATTACCCTCACAGTAACATCCTGTGGCTGTCTGGTCTCAGAGCAGATGTTTGGTAGGCAGGTAGAGTCCAAACTGCTTTCTGATCTTGCTGCAGTCGACTGTGGGTTCAAAAAGGGTTGCCTGGTTATCTAAGCACTGAGCTCTTTTTTCTGGGACACATTTTCAAGGAAATGTTCGACGTTTTGGCAAATAGCGTTCATTAGCTTTCTTGCAGAGGGTTCGATGAGAAGATCGATAATACTCTCATGTCTGTACGGTAAATATGAGGCTGTAGCCAGCAGCCAGTTAGGTTAGCTTAGCATTAAGACTGGAAACTGAGGGAAAAAATTAGACTGGTTCTGTCCAAAGCTAATAAAATCACCCAATATCCTCACCTCCAATGCTCACTAATTAATATATCTTGTTTGTTTAATTTGTTCAAAGACAAATTGTGATACTTAAGCTTTTTTTCAGTCTTTGTGCTGAGCTAAGCTAACCATCTAAATATTGAAATTTTGGTAAGAAAGTGAGGCTAAACTAAGTATTTGTCCAAATATCCAACTATGTATATTTATCTACCTGCTATATCCATTCATCCATTTTCATCCGCTTATTTGGGGTCGAGTCGAGGTTGCAGCAGGTTAAGCAGGGTGTCCCAGATGTTCCTCTCCCAAGCAATGCTTTCCAATTCCTCCTGGGGGATCCCGAGGCGTTCCCAGGCCAGACGAGATATATAATCCTTCCATCGAGTTCTCCGGAAAACCTCTAAAGGAAGGTGCTCGGAAGGCATCCTAATCAAATCCTAAGCTCCTCTGAGCTCCATCCGGATGTCAGAGCTCATCGTCCTATCTCTGTGTCTGAGCTCAACCATCCTACAGAGAAAACTCCCTTTGGCTACTTGTATCTGCAATCTCATTCTTTCGGTCACTACCCAAAGCTGTGAGAACCATGGCCTCAGACTCAACATTGCTGGCCAACTTCACACTCGGCTGAAAACAGCCACAATGCGTGCTGGAGGTCACGGTCTAATGAAGTCAACAGAATCACGTCATCTGCAAAAAGCACAGAAGCAAATCTGAGTTTCCCAAACCGCACACTCTCCTCACCCCAGCTGCACCATAGCATCCTGTCCACGAATATCACAAACAGGATAGGAGACAAGACCTCGGCGGACACCTACACAGTTTTTTGGCTATATCTAACTAGCTTGCTGTTATTGTAGACATTGTGTATCTACAACAAGATTGTGGTGTAAAGCATTAAATAAACATGTTTTCTTTCTAACTAAAGCAAATGTCAAATCCTGAGCATTTTGTGGGATGCAAAAATCAGGCAGGCTTCACAGAAAACAGCTGTGGCTCTGCGTGTACAGAGTTCCTGGAACAATTGGTTTTAGTGCAAAGGTCTGTGCCTGAGGCTAACTCTATTGATCTGAACCACTATTAAGAGGGATAGACAGAGAGAGCGTGAGAGAGAGAGGAAACCAAAGACAGAGAGAAACACAGAGAGGCTCCCTCATTATGTGTGAACTGGCACACCAGGGTTTTTCGTAGATATCATGGATACAAACACTAAACACCTGCAGTTGTGCGTTTTGAAGGCAATACTTGTGTTGTGGTGCTTCATCTACATATGTATCTGAAGTGTCAGTGG